GAACCAGTGACCTCTTTGTGCATGGGTCAATGCTCATCCACTGAGCCACACCATTCAGACAACAATACATTTAAAAAAAGAAAAGTAAGTCTAGACTATAGGCTAGATTCCAGTCGGACCGTTAACCCAAAGGATGTGAATATACTTATTTTCTGATACATATCATCAAATTGTTTTTTAGTAACTAAGAGTTCCAAAAAATATAATTTTACCAACATTAAATATCATTTAAAAAACAAATAGCCCTGGACGGGTAACTCAGTTGATTAGAGTACCATCCTAATACACTAAGATTGTGATTTCAGTCCCCAGTCAGGACATAGATAAGAATCAAGCAATAAATACATAAATAAGTGGAACAACAAACAGATGTTTTTCTCTCTCTTTCTTTAATATCAATCAATCAATAAAAATAAGTGAAAATGTTATTCTGTTGTATTTTACTTTATTACATACATAATTTTCTTTAATTGGCATTTTATTTTATATAAATATTAATTTGTTGCCCTTTATATTTCTGAAGACATTTCTGTTCATTATTTATCTTTTAAAAAATTTTTAGGTTCTAAAAATATTGAGTTAAATTTATCAATATTTTTATTGTGAATTTTCTTGAAATCACTTTATTGAGATATGATTGACATACAAAAAGTTGTTCATTTAATCTATACAGCTTGTTGAATTTGGAGATGAGTATAAACCATCACCACAATCTGTATTATAAATGTACATATCACTTCCAAAAGTTTCTTCTTGACCTTTGTATGTATGTATGTAATCATGAATGTGATAAGAACACTTAATATAAGATTTACCCTCTTGGCAAATTTTTAGATATACAATAAGGTATTGTTAACTATAGAGGTTCTATGCTATATAGCAGATTTCTAGGAAATATTCATCTTGCATAACTGAAACTTTCTACCTTTTGACAAACTTTGTACCTTTCTACCTCTCTCCCCCACAACCCATGGCAACCACCATTCTACAGTATTTCAGGTTCATCATGTACCATGACCAAGTGGGATTTATCTCTGGCATGCAAGGAGGTTTCAATTTATGCAAATCTATCAATGTGATACAGCACATTAACAGAATGAAGGATAAAAACCACATGATCAATAGATGCAAAGAAACATTTGACAAAATCTAATTTCTTTTATGATAAAATAAAATTCTCAACAAATCAGGTATAGAAGAAACTTACCTGAACACAATAAAGGCCATATATGAAAAGCCCACAACTACCATCACACTCAGTGGTGAAAAAACAAATGCCTTTTCTCTATAATCTGGAACAAGGTAAGAGTAACCCTCTCACCTCTTCTACTCAACATATTACTGGAAATCCTAGCCATAACAATTAGGCAAGAAAAAAAAAAAAAAAGTATCCAATTAGAAAGAAAAATTAAATTATCATTGTCAATCCTGCCTTTGCTTTTCTGCGTGGTAAATCCTTAAATATTTCAAAATGCATATTCTTTTCTATAATATGCTTAATCTTTCTTTCTTTCTTTCTTTCTTTCTTTCTTTCTTTCTTTCTTTCTTTCTTTCTTTCTTTCTTTTTTCTTTCTTTTATAAATAACTCGAATGTACCAGGAACTAATTTAAATATAAGATTATCTTTAATAGAAAAGTACAATGTTATGATCTAAGTTTATTCTTTCCAAGTTTTTAATCAATTAACTCAGTATTGCTGCTTTGCAATGACTTTTTTTTTTGTTTTTGGTTTCATAGATCTTTATCTTTATTCTTCCAGAAAACTGTAGATGCACTTTACAAAATCCTAAAGAATATGCTTGTATTTTCATATATCTGCTTTAAAATTTATTACTCTGTATCTTTAGTTAAAAATTTATATTTTTATTTATAGATTCCACATTATTATTTATCATTTTCACATCTTTGTTTAATGTATCTTTGTATCCAATGCATAATGTTCTTTGGTTAAACCATGATTTTGGGAGGGGTCTCTATTCTGTTTTCCCGGTAATCATTGACTTCACGCCTTCCTTGGTCACATCTGAAATAGGCATTAGAAAATAGGCCTCTTAGATGATGGGGTACCAGGACTTTTTAAAGTATTAATAAGATGTGATCTATTTGAGTCCTGGCTGGTGGGATTTTGGCAGTATAAAACTTTTAAGAAACTGGTTTATTACATATTTAATTATAGGTAGCTCCATGTGATAGGAACCACATTTACAGTTGTTACATTGCATTGACTTTTATCCCCCATGACCACTGCCCTCCAGTTTTACTCTGTATCTCTGTCTCCCTTTCTTTCTTTCTCTCTCTCTCTCTCTCTCTCTCATCACAATCACAGATATCTTGGACAATCAGCTTTCAGGGAAGAACACATAACAAGTCTACTTTTTCCTGAGCCACTTTGTCCAATTGAGAGACTTTTGCCAAAACCCCTCCATAGTTGAATCCTTAATCTGTGATATATTAAAACTACCCATAAATTGTAATAACCAACATCAGTGCCCTAGATTTGACCTTTATTCAAGGGTCAATTTGATTTTATTGGCTTTGGTCAAGGCAAATTCTTCTCAAGTTTTAACAATGAGATTGAGAAGAAGTTGCTTCTGCCAAACATGTTCTTTTATTTCTGTTTGCAAATCAATTAATTCTTTTTGATATCAGCTCTTTCGTATAATAATTGCCATATACTTGCTGACAACATCCCAATACATTCTATTAATTGAGTTTGTCAAACTTTTTCCCTAAGGTTATAAGTTTGTTTGATATATGATCTGTCTTCCAAATTATTGTTGGCAAGCCTTTACCAAATGTTTTGCCACTGCATATCATGTATTAATGTATTGCTATCTTTTTAGCTTCTAATAAGCAGTTCCCTTGTGTTGTCCACTGCCAATTTTCTAAACCAGTGGGAAAAACTTGAGGTTCTAGGAGGTTAAGTAGATGTCAAGGAAACACAGCTACAATGTGGTAAAGCTGCCATTTAGTACCAGATAACTAATTCCAGAGGCCCCCTCTAGCCACTGTGCTACATTTCTATTTTAAAGTTATATTATACATAAATGAGAAAATAAAATACAATTTATTCCATTTTATTAATTTATTTTACTTGTGTTCTCCATGATCTTGTATCAGGTTAGATGTTGATTTTGGGTATTATAGGTAGAAACACAAATGATTACAAAGTAAAAGTATCTTTTCTATTATCAAATAATAATTTGTACTTTGTACCTCACATACTTTAAAATACATACATATATACAGAGGGCTCCAATTTTATTTTTAAATATAAATTTTATTTTTTTGAATAGTTCCAGATTTACAGAAAAGTTACAAAGACAGTGCAGAGAGTTCCTATATACCCTTCATCATTACCCCTATTATTAAATTATTTTATTACTACAGTATATTTACTACAATGAATCAATATTAATACAATATTAGTAAAATCCATACTTTGCAGTGATTTTCTTAGCTTTTACCTAGTGTTCCCTTTTAGTTCCTGGATCTCATTCAGGATACCACATTGCATTTACTTGTTATGTCCGTTTCAATTCTTCTTGGTTATGACAGTTACTCAGAGTTTACCTGAGAGTTTTGAAGAAGATCGGTCAGGTATTTATAGGATGTGCTTTTATTTAGATTTGCTTGGTATTTTTCTCATGATTAGGCTGGGGTTATGATTTTTTGGGAGAAAGACTACATTAGAAAATTATTTTCATCATGTTACATCATATTATGATTATTTATTATCTTCATTAAGTTATTAATATTGATCTCGATCACCTGATTGAAGTAGTGTTATTAGGTTTCCTATAATTCTCCTTAAAACTATCAAGATCATTGAAACAAGTAAAGTCTGAGAAACTGCCATACTCAAGAAAAGTCAAAGAAGACATAACAACTAAACATGACACTGATGGAAGTCAAAATGCACAGCCGACACTTAAGGAATCAGGAGGTATAGTATTATGTTCCACTTTTGTGAGGGCAAAGTATTTATATAAATTATTCAAATGCTTATAAGTGCTCATAAAAACCGTGATGGCTTCCTTGTACTATCAATATTTTTCAAACTATGTAAAGTGACAGTTCCTTGCTTTGGAAAATGAACTTAATCTCTCATCAGTGAGAGAATTTATGAGCTATCATGACCTTTACAGAGTGAAAAGCACACAACATGAGGCTCACAGAGAGGAAAAGAAAAAGACATGATGAATGAAGATGCATGTATACATCACCTAGATTAATAGTCTTGCTTATGAGCATGTCTTTATGTTTACTTAACAACATTTGAAGATAAATTATTTCTATACACTTGAATAATGAGACTATTACATGGCAAGATGAAAGTTACTAAAATGTCAAAATTAGAAAGAGTTCTAAAGATTATTCAGAATGCATCCTTCCTACGCCCACATTTTGTTTTGCTAGGTTGCTAATAAGAAATCTACTGCTTTTTATTTGTGTGTGTGTGATGCCCACACCATCAAAACAATGGCTTTAAAGGGAAATATTTGAAATTTTTATTGAAATGTAACATACATATAGAAAAACACAACTCATAAGTATATAGATCATTAATATTTTACAAGGTGAATACAGGGTGAGGCAAAAGTAGGTTTATAGTTGTGAGTACACGAAAATGAGCTTATCATTGTATTATTATTTATTAATTATTGTGTTATTTTCCACACAAACAACTGTAATCTTACTTTTGCCCTACCCTGTCCATCATGTTACCAGCATGCAGATCAAGAAATATTACATTACTAGCACCATAGAACCCTCCTCAGTCACTGCCCTCAAAAATAAACATTAACCTGACTTCTAACACCATAGACTCTATTTTTCAAGTGTGTACTATAACAAGTATAAACTATATAAATAATTAGGTAAGCTTGTGGAGAAACTGACCAAGAGATATAAATTAGGAGATACAAGTGTACATCTAAATTTTCTATATATCTTGTCTTTAACAGGATATTAATTAAAGTTGTTTAATACAAAGTTTCTCATTTTGGAGGTCCTTTATGGTAAAGATTGTTCTTTTGTCTGATAATAAACAGCAGCCACATTGTCAAACCTCCACATTGGATAAATTGGATTTCTTCTTGAGACACAAGTTTCTTTCTGTGTCTCTGAGGTAATATATTTATTATTTCTGCAGTGTTGGGAGGACCCTGATACATCAGCCAATCTGGCAATTTACTTCCCTTACACTGCTGTGAAGTTGAAAAAGAGTGAGATGGTAGTCCTGCTGAGCTCAAAACTTCTAACATATTTGTTTTAGGATTGTCTATTCTGTCAGGAAATCTTATTAATAGAATATGTGGCCTGACTACCTGCATGATCCTGCTAGCTGATGCCATCATGCTGCTCATCATGAACCCCCAACACCATAGATTTTTTTCACCTCATATAAATTAAATCACATAATATATATTTGTATCTGACCTCTTTTATTCAATATTCATCTGTTTCACTATTTTGTTGTGTGCAATTTTAGTTCCTTTATTTTAACTGCTGTATAATATTTTATTTGGAATGTACCACAATTATTTATTATATTGTTGGATATTTGGGTAGATTCTAGTATTAGAAGATTATTAGTAGTGCTGTTATAAACATTCTTGTATGTATCATCTGGTAAACAGATGTATGTATTTCTGTTGCATATATACCAAGAAGTTGAATTGTTTGGTTATAAGATGAACCTATGCTCACTTTTTGAAGATAGTGCCAGATCATTTTCTTATATTAATAAGCCAGTTTGCACTACCATCAGCAGTATATGTAAGTTAATTTCTGACTACTCCAAATACCTACCAACAATTTATTTTGGTCATTTTCAAGTTTGCCGTTCTTGTTAACATATACAGACATATTTTAGCTTTATTTTGTATTTTCTCACTAAAAAGTAAAATTCAATAATATTTTTCATATGTTTATTTACTTGGATATTAACTTTTGTAAAAAATCTGTTAGGTCTTTGCTCAATTTTCTTAAATGTTTCCTTATTCATATTGATATATAGGAGTTTTAGATATTTTGGATGAAAACCCATTGTTGGATATATGTATTGTAAATGTCTTTTTGAAATGCATAGATTATATTTCCAATTTAATAGTGTCTTTAATAAATAATAGTTTTACATCTTAATATAAATGTGTATGTGCACACACACACATTCACTTTCTTATTGGTATTTCTTTATGTTCTCTTAAGAAATCTTTGGGGTTCCAGTCAAAATGGTGGTATAGCTAAACTTGATACTTGGTACCTCCCACACCACATCAAAATTACAACTAAAATACAGAACAACCATCATTCAGATGCCTGCAATATAATGAACTGAAGTCCTACAACTAAGAATATAAAGAAGAAGCCACACCCAGGCTGGTAAGACACAGGGCCCAAATGAAAGAACAGCATAAAACTTCAGGAAAAAAATTAAACAAAATAGAGGCAAACAAACTACTAGATACAGAGTTCAAAATACTGGTTATAAGGATGCTCAATGAACTTAATGAAAACTTCAACAGCATAGAAAAGGACATGGAAAGCATAAAAAAGAACCAACAACAACAACAACAAAAATGAAGGATACACTAACTGAAATAAAGACTAAGTTACAGGGAATCAACAGCGGAGTAGATGAAGCAGAAAATAAAATCAGTGATTTGAAATATAAGGAAGCAGAAAACACTCAATCAGAACAACATAAAGACACAGAATCTCTCAAAATAAGGATAGTGTAGAGGAGTTATAGGACAACTTCAAGTGTATCAACATTTGCAACATGATGGTAGCAGAAGGAGAGGAGAGCAAGAAATTGAGAACATATTTGAAAAAATAATATCAGAAAAGTTTTCTAACCTGGTGAAATATACATACAAGTCTTGGAAATGCATAGAGTTCCAAACGTGATGAACTCAAAGAGGCCTACACCAAGACACATCATAACTAAAATGACAAAGGTTAAAGAGAAAGAAACAATCTTAAAAGCAGTAAGAGAAAAGCAGTTAGTTACCTATAAGGGAGCTCCCATAAGACTGTCAGCTGATTTCTCAACAGAAACTTGACAGGCCAGAGGGGATGGGCAAGAAATATTTAAAGAGAAGAAAAGAAAGAACCTACAATCAAGATTACTCTACCCAGAAAAGCTATAATTTAAAATTGAAGGACAGATAAAGAGCTTTCTAGTGGAGGAGGTTGGGGGAGGAACTAAAGGAGTTCATCACCACCAAATCAGTGTTACAAGAAATGTTAAAGGGTCTTCTTTAAAAAATGATTTTAAAAAGATAAAAAAATATAAATATTAAAAATGGCAAAAATATATACCTATCAACAATTAATTTAAATACAAATGGATTAAATGCCTCATTCAAAAGACATATAGTGACTGAATGAATAACAAGACAACCCTTTACATACACTGTCTACAAAAGACTCACTTCAGATAGAAAAATACACACAACCTGAAAGGAAAGGGATATAAAAGATATTTTATAAACATTGAATCAAGACAAAACAAAACAAAAAAGCTAGGGTAGCAAAACTTATAGACAAAATAGACTTTAAAATAAAGGCTATAACAAGAGACAAATAAAGGCCCAGCAACTCCATTTCTGGATATTTATCTGAAAAAACCTAAAACACTGAGTTGAAATGACAAATGCATTCATATGTGTATTGCAGCATTATTTACAAATGCCAAGATATAGAAGCAGTCTAAGTGTCCATTAATAGATAAATGAATAAAGAAGAGGAGGCACATATATACAATGGAATAAAATTCATCCATAAAAAAATGAAATTTTGCCATCTGCAATAACATGGATGGATGTAGCAGGTATTATGCTTATGAAAAGTGAAATAAGTCAGACAGAGCATGACAAGTGAAAGATAATTTCACTTATATGTGAGATTTAAAAAAAAAAAAACAGAAACAAACAAGCAAAACAGAAATAAACTCATAGATACAGAGAACGTTTTGATTTTGATTTTTCTAGATGGTAGAGGGGTTGAAGGATGGGTTAAAAAGGTGAAAGGGTTTAGAAATACAATTTTTTAATTTATTTTTATAATTAATTATTAATTTATTTATGTTATTTATCCCTTTTCCCCCATTGACACACTCTTCACACTCCCTTCCTGCCCTGTCCCCAGCTTTGTTGTCCATGTCCATTGGTCATGCATACATGCATATAAGTTCGGTGCTTTATCTCTCCCACTCCACCCCCTCTTCTGGGGATTGTCAGTCTGTACCCTACTTCCAAGTCTCTGTGACTATCCAGTTTTTCAGATTATTATGTTCATTATATTCCACAAATAAGTAAGATCATATGATACTTATCTTTCTCTGCTTGGCTTGTTTTGCTTAGAATAATACTTTCCAGGTCCCTCAATATCATCTCAAAGGATAAGAGGTCTTTCTTTCTTATAGCTGCATAGTATTCCATTCTGCATAAGTACCACAGCTTTTGTATCCATTTGTCTACTGTTGAACACTTGGGATGTTTCCAAATCTTAGCTATTGTAAATAGTGCTGCTATGAACATGGGGATACATATATTCTTTCTGATTGGTGTTTCAGGCTTTTTAGGGTATATTCTTAGAAGTGGGATCACTGGGTCAAATGGCAATTCAATTTTTAACTTTTTGAGGTAGAAATATAGTGTTTTCCATGGTGGCTGCACCAGTCTGCATTCCAACCAGCAGTGCACTAGAGTCCCCTTTTCTCCACACCCTCGCCAACACTTGTTGTTTAATGATTTGTTGATGGCGGCCATTCTGACAGGTGTGAGGTGATACGTCATTGTTAATTTACTTTGCATCTCTCTGATGATTAGTGATGTTGAGCATGTTTTCATATGTTTCTTGGCCATTTGTATGTCCTGTTTGGAGAGGTGTCTATTTAGTTCCTCTGCCCAATTTTTAATTGGGTTCTTTGTCTTCCTTTTGTTGAGCTGTATGACCACTCTATATTTTGGAAATTAATGCCTTATCTGATGTATTAGTGGTGATTATGCTCTCCTATAAAGTGGGTTGCTTTTCCATTTTGGTGGTTGTTTCTTTTGCTGTGCAGAAGCTTTTTAGTTTGCTGTAGTCCCATGTGTTCTTTTTGTTTGTTTGTTTATTTCTGTTGCCTTAGGAGATGTATCAGTGAAAAATTCTTCTGCGTATGATGTCTGAAATTTTATTGCCTACATTTTCTTCTAGAATTTTTATGGATTCATGAGTCACAGTTAAGTCTTTTATCCAGTTTGAGATTATTCTTGTGTATGGTGTAAGTTGATTGTCTAGTTTCATTTTTTTGCAAGTAGCTGTCCGATTTCCCAACAGCATTTATTAAAGAGGCTGTCTTTATTGTCTGCTCTTGTCACTTTTGTCAAATAGTAATTGAGCATAATTGGGTCCATTTCTGGGATCTCTGTTCTATTCCATTGATCTATGTGCCTGTTCTTGTGCCAGTACCAGGCTGTTTTGACTACAGTAGCTTTGTAGTATAACCTGATGTCTGATATTGTGATCTCACATATTTTGTCCTTCTTTTTCAAAATTGCTGTGGCTATTTGGGTCTTGTTTTGTTCCATATGAACTTTTGAAGTATTTGTTCTAGTTCTGTGACGTATGTCATTGGTATTTTGATGGGGATTGCATTGAATCTGTAAATTGCTTTGGGTAGTATGGACATTTTAATGATGTTAATTCTTCCAATCCATGAACAAGGTATGTGCTTCCACTTTTTTATATCTTTCTCTATATGTTTTTTTTTTTTTTTCAATGTCTGGTGGTTTTCTGTGAATAGGTCTTTTTTTTTTTCCTTTGGTTACGTTCATTCCTAGGTATCTTAATTTTTTTGCTGCAATGTTAAATGGAATTGTTTATTTAGTTTCTCTTTCTGTGAGTTCATCATTGGTATATAAGAATGCTGTCAATTTCTTGACATTAATTTGGTATTCTGCTATTTTGCCAATTAATTTTTTAAGTCTAGTAGATTTTTGATGGAGTCTGTGGGGTTTTCTATGTATACTGTCATGTCATCTGCAAATAATGACAGTTTCACTTCTTCCTTTCCAATTTGGATCCCTTTCATTGTTTTTTCCTGAATGATTGCTGTGGCTAAGACTTTCAGTACTATGTTAAATAAGAGTGGCAAAAGTGGGCATCCTTGTCTTGTTCGTGTTCTTAAGGAAAATGCTTTTAGTTTGTGTTCATTTAGTATGAAGTTGGCTGTAGGTCTTTTATATATGGCCTTTATTATGTCAAGATATGATCCTTCTATTCCCAGATTGCTGAGCATTTTTATCAGAAATTGATGCTGGATTTTGTCAAATGCTTTTTCAGCACCTATTGATATGATTATATAATTTTTATCTTT